TCAGGGGCAATTGCCCCCCCCCCACCACACACACACCAGAAAATACTGCAGTAGGAGCGGATCGCGGGGTGCCGGGCAGGTGGCTTTGTCTGCTGCACCCACAGATCAGACGCAGGGGCGCCCCCCTCCCCTCCTACCAATTCTCCCGAGGAAGGTGTGTGTGTGGGGGGGGGAGATTTTGGATGCATCCCTTCCTGCGAGCATCGCTGCTAGGAAGCGTGTCCCCCCCCCTTCCCTCTCCCGGGGACTGGCGCAAAACGATCCCTGTCTGGGAAAACAGGAGGAGGGAAAAAACACCAAACAGATGACAGCCCCCCCCCCCGATTCCAGCTGGGGAGGGGGGAATCTGAGCGCTGGGGGGGTCCATATTTCCAGAGATCTGAACGCTCTGCCATTCCCATCTCCCCATCCCTCCCTCTCCCCCTTTTCCTGCCCCCCCGCTCACCTCCCCCCCAGCCCTCTCCCCATCTCCCTGCAGTTTAGCACAGAATCAAAGCGAGAGAGGGTCAATGGATCGGTTATTTACCTGGAAGGGGGGGCTGTCAGATCCCCCCCCCAGACACACACAGCAATCGAGAAACAATCAAGCCAGTGACTTACCTTTAGCGATCCAGCCTCAGTTCTCCTTCCAGCGGGCTGCTCCATTCAGCTAGTCCTATTCCACTCCGGCTCGAGACATTTCGCTTTCCTTCGCGCCCCCCCCCCCGCCCTCCCCCCACAAGGTGTTACGAAATCGGAGCGAGCGATGGAGACCGGTGGGTCGCGTCTGCCGAGCTCGGGCTGGATTCGGGGGTCGGCTCCAACCTGGCGCGGATCGCTCCGGGTCCTCTGCCCTGCAGTGTGCAGGGGCGGGGAGGGGGGGGTGTCCTCGGGTGGCTTGTTTTCCTCCCCGCTGGATGCTTCTCCAAACGGATCCCCTCCCCCCCACAAAAATACAACAGAGGAAGGGGGAGAAAAATAGTCCAAGCCGGCTCCCCCCTCCGAATAACCCCGATCCCCCCCTCAAAACCCCCCGGCTCTCAGGAAGTCTCCGCCGGGCGCCCAGTCCGCTCCAGCGCGGCGAGGGGGCGTCTCTGGCTAGATCCACGCGTGACAGGCAGTCCGGGCATGCTGGAGAACCAGCGTGCAAGCGAAATCAGCCCCGCCAGCCCTGCCCGCGCACACGCGGGGCTGCTGCGGGGTGGGGGGGGACCCCGCAATTCCACGGAGCAGGGGGGAGGTTCGGGGGCGTTGCTCGGCAATCTTCCTTCGGGGGTCGCCGTCTCCGGGACCTCGCAGCCGCTGGGCTCCTACACCGTCCCCCCAGCGCCGGGAGGGGGGCGCGGCGCAGCTCCGCGCTCTTCCGCCCCCTTGGTAGCCCCGCGATCGGTGCCTCTCCGCCGCCGGCACCCCCGGGGTGGAGCTGGGGGAGCCGGGCTGGGAGGCAGGTCCCGGGCGGCGGGGATGGGAAGCTGGCCGGAAGGTCACGCCTGCTTCTCCCCAGGCAGCTGGCAGCCGCCGGGCCCGGACGTACGGTGGGGTGCGAGCGCCCCTCTGCCTCCCCCTCCGTCCTTCGGCCAGGCGGCTGCGGAGCGCCCCGCGGCACGGCACGGTCCGGGCACCGGGGAGCAATGAGGGGCCAGGGGCTTCATTCAGCGCAAGGGCTCAGCGAGAGGGGAGGGAGGAAAAGCCGGAGTGGAGTCCGGGAAAGGGGGGAGGGAGGGTAGGGGAGGGGAGGGGCCGGGAAAAACTGGGGTGGATTCAGGGGATGGAAGGGAAGGGCACACCCCGGGAAGAGGGAATAGCTGGGGTGGAATGAGGGGGGAAGGAGGGGGGCACACCCGGGGAGGGGAATAGCTGGGGTGGATTGAGGAGGGGAAGGAGGGGGTCACGCCCGGGGAGGGGAATAGCTCGGGTGGATTGAGGAGGGGAAGGAGGGGAGGGGCACACCCAGGGAGGGAATAGCTGGGGTAGATTGAGGAGGGGAGGGGCACACCCAGGGAGAGGGAATGGCTGGGTGGATTGAGGGGGGAAGGAGGCGGACACACCCAGGGAGGGAATAGCTGGGGTGGATTGAGGAGGGGATGTAGGGGAGGGGCACACCCAGGGAGGGGAATAGCTGGGGTGGATTGAGGGGGAAGGAGGGAAGGGGCACACTTGGGGGGAAGGGGAAGGAGGGAAAGCTCGGACTGGGATGCTATCTCTGGAAGGGGGGAGGAGCAATACATCTGGTGGGGATGGAGGAGGGACACAGAACACCGAACCGAGTATCACCCATGGAAAGGGACATGGGAAATACACCTGTAGCAGGTAAAGGGCAAAATCCGCACTGGATTCCGGAGCATGGGAATGGACAAAGAATAAACCGACTCCTCCTGGCTGGCCATGGGGAGGAGACAGGTCCCAGCCTGGATTCCCAGCCTTGGAGACCTACTGCACAGACACCTGAGGGAGGCAGGGAGGAGACAAAACCTGGACTGGATCCCACCTGCTGGAGTGTAGGCTGCAGATACCCCTGAGTAGCAGCCAGGATGCAATAAAACCTGATCTGGATTGTACAACATGGGAATGGATGGGGGAAAACTACACCTGATCAGTGCTGAAAAGGAGTGAAAATCCGGACTGGATACCTCCATTAAGGAATAGACCCTGCAAAGTCACAGGACTGGCAGCTGGGAGAAGGCAAACCCAGGCCTGGATCCCAGGAGATTGGGCTCCGGATGAAGAGATTAAGGATAATCCAGTCCTGGGTGACCCCATAGACATATGGCAGGGCAGATGTTCCAGAAGAGAGGCTAACCTGCACATGTACAGTATGTGGCTGCCTGGAGGGAAAACCTGGCCCAGATTCCAGGAGAAGGGATTCAAGGAGATGTAGGTGGGGTGACTATAACAGCTGGGTTAACCACAAACTCCTGCTAAATTGCAAAGTAATTTCCTCCGTTATCTTTTTCTTCTGTTTTATACACTTTGTGCCCATCAATGTGTAATAAAGACACAGAAAGCCGAGCGGTGCTGGGTGAGCATCATAAGGTGTCATTTTATTACTAGATAAAATCAATTGAGAAGGACTCCATTAAGATATAAGAAACTACATCAGAAATTAAAGCTGTCTAAAGGCATCCTCTACGGTACCAGACCCAGTCAGTGGGAGGGAAGTTTAGTTTCCCAGGCAACCTGGTCCCAAAAAGGATTGCAAATCGTTCGCAATAGAGGAGTGATCAATAAGATACCTTAGATATAACGCCACAGGCCCCACTGGAGCGCTGTGCTGCACCAAGACGACAAAGAGGCTGAGGAGAGGTGGATGAGATGGACGAAAGTGAAGGGAGCAGAGGAAAGTGTAACAGGCAGCGCTTGTATGCTCCGGCAGGGCTGGTGCAAGGACGTTTCTTGCCCTAGGTGAAACTTCCACCTTGCGCCCCCCCACCCAGCCCTGCGGCAGCTCCCCGCCCCGCCCCTCCGCCCTGAGGACCCCCCCCCCATGGCAGCTCCTCCCCCCGGGGAGCCGTGCGGCAGGTCCCCACCCCAGCTCACCTCTGCTCCGCCTCCTCCCCGAGCACACTGCACATAGGAACACTGTAAAAAAAATTGGGGGCACTGCTTTTTGGCGCCCCCAAATCTTGGCGCCTTAGGCAACCGCCTAGTTTGCCTTAATGGTAGCATCGGCCCTGTGCTCCGGCTTCATCCGCTGGCCCTGCGCCATATGCTTGCTCGCTTTGGGGCACAGGCTGTCACTCGAGAATTGGACTTTTTAGCCACTCGCGATGCTGCAGCTGGACATTCTAAGTGACCTGGACTGTTGCTCGCCCCGTTGTCATTTGAGATACACAGCTGCCATATATATATATAAAATATATAGATATATTCCCACACCTTGGTGAAAGCTTAGTTTGAACGAATCCGGTTAGAGATGTAGCTACTTTTCATCAGAGGTGTGTCTATAGAGAGATATATTTCAGAAAGGTGTTTGGTATTAAAGAAGCCGATACAGTCAAGTAGTATGTCGAAAAGCCAAGGTGAAGTGTAAATATTTAAAGGTGACCCCATCAAAACGTTATCCAGCCTGATCTGTATGATTGGCAGCTGCACAGAGAGAATTTCATATAGGAAGTGAACTTATTAACTTCAACACTGAGGTGTAGGGAATCCTGGCGTACCGGTACAGAGGGAATCCTGCATACTGGTACAGGGGGAATTCTGGCATACGGGTACAGAGGGAATCCTCACATACTGGTACAGAGGCGTGAAGAGCTGTTTTGTGTTTCACTCATTGTTATTTCCTGTTGTTGATGAAACAATTGAGTCGAATGACTTTATGTGGCTGCATGAGGAGCTACTAAACCAAGACAGAACCATCCAGGAGTGGGAAGAGACCCGCTAACCTCAAACGGGACCCATCTGCAGACAGCCAGGAGTGCCGACGGAAAAAGCACGGAGTCGTGCAGAGCTGGCCAAAGATGCCCACTGCAGAGGGGCCCACAGGAAGTAACTCGTGGGAATCAGCTGGAGGTTAATCAGCAGACGTCCAACGGATGGTCAAACGCTCCTACACCCACCGAGAATTTTTTTCATGACAATACTGGAGTCTTTCAAACACAATGTTGCAAGAAGCCACAAAGGAGGTACTCATTTTCTCTCTGAGGAGGGACACAACTCAGACCTTGGGTGGACATTTCAGATCTTCACCAGGGCCACATTCTGCTTGGCTTACAGTAGCTTGGCCAAGAAGAGGAACCAGGCGCTCTGCCAGAAATGCCCTGTTTTGCTCAACCGGTTGCTTTCTGAAACCAAAACACATGGACCAGAGACCCTGTGACCAGGACCATCATGGCTTGGCCAGAGACACTGCCCCCTGCTGGGTAGCAACTAAAGTCTTGTCACTGAAAAGCATCCGATTAACTCTGTCTTTCAAAGTCCAATCTAGGAAGACCACTGTGAAATCTGTGAAGAGTATAGAGAGTCCAGATGTACACCTTGAGTGAATCACCCGAAGGAACTTCCTGCGGCAAGCAGAGCCGGGCAAATAATGACCTTTCGTTTAGCCGTCAATTCCAGCTGAAACGAAATCCTTTTGGGTCAAACGGAAACTGAATTGTTTTGCAATTTCCCGCAAATGGAAAAATAGCAAAAAATTCATTTCAGGGCTGGACGAAATGGCTCCTTGCCACAAAACTGGAACGGTTTGTTTCTATTCTGACCATTTGTAAATGGGTTGGATAGTTTTTTTAAGGCATGTAAAGGACATTTTGACATGAAAAGTTGTTTTAAGTCGAAGAATGGAAAGATTTTATTTAGACAATGTCGACACGAAACATTCTGAGTTTGTCTTTTAGAGGGTTTTTTTTTTGGGGGGGGGGTCCCGAAACAATCTGAAGCAGTAGGAATCTGTGTTACTTTTCTCTAGAGAAATGAATGCCAGACAGCTACTGAGAAAAGACCAAACTTCAGCTAGCCCCAACCATTATATGAGACCTGTTTTCTATGGATGTGAGACCTGGGCACTGAGGAAGAAGAAAGAAAGCCAACTAAACACCTTCGAAAAGGAAGTGCGGAGATGAATTCTTGGCGAGTCAGGTGTGTAGAAGCTCTAATAGGGAACTATGGGAAGCCTGTGGAGAATCAAGTCTAGGAACCAGAGTGCAATCCCGACTCCAGCACGTGGGGAGGGAAGGCAGATCGGCTGTCTCCTGACTGAATGCCCTTGACACCAGGAGGTTGGGGCAGATTGCTTAGAACCTCCAGGACCTTTAGCGCCAAGGAGGAGAAGGAGGAGGCATGAATTCCCGAAACATTTTGCTGTGGCTGACTGTATTTTTTGCCGGAAAAAAGGGTTGGTTGAAAACGTTTGCCCAGTTCTAATCTCAAGTCATTACAACAGTGACCCTGAAAGGCAGCCCACCCTGCCAGCTCCAACTGAGATGTAGCAAAGCAGTGTTTATCCATGTATTGTTTCCCTAAGTAGCGACTAGTTGGTGTTGGTCCTGCTTTGAGCATGGGTTTGGAGCATGGGTTTGGACTAGATGACCTCCTGAGGTCTCTTCCAACCCTAATCTTCTATGACTTCGTTATGTTAAGCTAAACATATATATAGAGAGAGAGAGAGCTGTACTTATTTCATAGAACTGGAAGGGACGCTGCCTTCACTAACAGGACCAAGTACTGATTTTGCCCCAGATCCCTAAGTGGCTCCCTCAAGGATTAAGCTCATAACTCTGGGTTTAGCAGGCCAATGCGCAAACCACTGAGCGATCCCTCCCCCCCAATAACGTTGCTGAGAAGCCGGACCTGAATGACAGCTGTCTGAATGCAGGCCGTGTGCTTGTACTTCACTCACACATGTCTAGAACTTACGCTAATTGAGAACTCTGGGAGAAACTCATTACACTAGTGGCCAGTCTACGTTAGAAGTGCTACAGCGACGCAGCTTATTCACACCCCTGAGCGACAGAAGTTATACCGACATAACCTGTAGTGTAGACAAGCCCTAGCTAAGCCAATTTATAATAGGAAACTGGGCTTCCCTACAGCAAAAGTTACTGCAAAAAACCATGAGTTCTAAGACTTCAGTTTAGAAGTCCCACAGATTTTGGTATAAAGGGTGCTGTCAGTTCCTAGACAACTTCTCAGAGGAACTGACATGTAAGATCAAGATTTTACCTCCGCCTGAAACTTTGGTTAAAGTGGCATAAAAGCACCCGGTA